AGAGCAACTAGAAAGCTTTCAGTTCGATTCCCACAGACGGCGCCAATGTAATTGCACCAAACCAGAAGTCCTTCTTCAGTCCGCGCTTGCACTCCGGGATGACCTGCAAAGCCTCGAGGTGGAACTCGGGGTAGACACTCCGATGCTTAAGTCAGCAACAATCGGGGCTACCTTTAGGGCGGAAATAAAAAGAACTTAGGGTTGGTTTCAATTACCTTTTGACGTGGCCCGGAGGGGGTATTTATAGGATCCAATGAGGAACCCACGTGGCATGCCAAGCAAGATAATCGGAGCCTGACGTGTCTATCCAGACGATTATTCCGGGACCGGGAATTTGAGAGGTATTCAGATGCACGAGTGTCCACCATACCTGCTGTGCTACTCATCATAAGGAATCAGGTGCGGACATGCTTATTGTCATTATCATGCAGCTATTTGAGCGGGAAGCTTTGGATTCATTCCTCACTTCGGTCATAAAGGAATTACTGTAGCAATCCGAGGCTTGGCACCTCGAACCTGTCCTTACAAAAGGTTTTTTTTAAACAAGTACAAATTTTAAGGGATAAGAGGACTTGAATCAACATCATAGTATTGACAATACATCTTTCAAAACTACCTACAAGCCAGTCAACCCATAAGACCATGTGCAAATTTTTAAAGTTTAGTATTTTGAGTGTTTTGCTTTATTATAATTTTAAGATTTAGTATTTAAAGTTTATGATATATCGCATTTATTATATAAAATCTAATGACAATTTTTAAAGATGTTTTCCTTTTTGATATAGCATTTATTATTTCAAGATTATGATTTAAATTAAAAATCAATTAGGAAACCAACCCAATGGTTTAATGGTTCCCATCAAATCTAAGAGTTTAGATTAAAGTCGTTAGGAGTTTAATTGCAACCAATTACTTGAAAAAATTCACCTCTCCCTCAAATTCCTTTTGTTCAAAAAAATAAAAAATAAAAAAAGAATAGGAATAAAAATTTAAAAAAAGCTAGTAAGGGTTAAAAAAATAAAAATTTATGGTGACAGGAGGAAAAATGAAAAAGTTATAGGGACTATTGGTCCTCTAGGAGTAGCTCCAGTAGGGAAAAGGAACAAAAGAGCTTTTTGTTTGGAGATTAGTAAACATCTATCATTTATTATCTTAAAAATATATAAAATATATTTAATATTTGTTTTAATTAATATTTTATATTTTTTAAAGATAATAAAAAAAATAAAAATTTACAACTGCAACATCACATAATATTTGAAACTATCCGTAAATCACTTTATTTAAGTGGTATTATTAACACACCCTCAATCAATAATACCATACTTTTTATTTCAAGTAACTATATGAAATGAAAAAATTTATAAAATTCAAGAAAAAGTATAACATAAAGGTATAATATTTAAAAGGATGCAAAAAGTTAGAATGTAATGTTTGGACATCCAATCAAAACTAAATGATAATGATGAAACATAATGTAGATTTCACTTAAATCTCATTTCTTATGTTATCAGAATTAAATATTTTGATATTTTTAATATAAGAATGTCTTAAATTTCACTTCTCAAAATACTTAATTAAACTAAAAAAGAATAACATTAATCCTATGCCTTTATTTGTTCAAACTAACCCATTGAGCAGTGCTAGAAGCACTTCCTCTGCACTCTCTGTCCAAGTGCATATTTGATTTCCAAACTTCTTACAATAAGAGTTCAATATTATTTATTGAATCAACTGGGTTTTTAAAGAGCCATAATAGATGATGCCGAGACTAGAAATAGGTTTGCAAAATGCAATTCCGGCAGCATGTTTGGTAACTTTGGTTTGAGGAAATTGAAGGGAGGGTAGAATTCAACACTAAAAATAATCATGCATTAGGATTTTTCTTAACACTTTCAAACAAAATGTTTTAAAATAGAGTGAGTACTAAATTGAATATTTGTGAAAGTACGGAAATTTCCGTTTCTCTTCAATCCTTTAAATTCCTTATGTAACATTTGTTTTTTCCATGAATGATAGCAATTTGAATTCCTCAAGTTAAATTGTTAACGTTTTTGTTTTTAATATCGTCCACCTCTACAAATGGAATTGAAGAGGAAATTAGAGAACCTTCCGATGGTCATAGCAGTGAAAGGTCATCCAATTGAAGACAAAAGCAAAGCCGTAGAACCTGCCAATCACCTCAGATACTCCTTCATTGATCACCAGGACTTGGGAACTAAAGAGCATACGCCTCATACATCCTCTTGCTCTTCACTATGGACTTGGGAAGGATGATCTTGATTACGGAGAATACCAAAATTATTCCAAGTTAAAAATAAAGCAGAAAAATTTGAATTGATTTGCATGACAATATAAAACCTAATAAATATTCAAAAGAAAAACATGACAACATGAATGTTTAATTAATATCTCAAGCACCATCCAAACCAATGGGAAAATAAATGCTAGCAGAGCACAAAACTAGAAATGGAGAATAAAACCTGCTATAATTTCAATACACTTTGAATTGGAGGGCTTTCAAATTGAAGATGACACTCATAGACCTTCACCAAATAAGGGGACCCCAAAGGTTAGCTAAACTACAACGCAGGGACCCCAACTCCTCCAAACCCTCTCTCTGAGATTGAGCAACGGAAAGAAGAGGACTAAGACTGAATTCAAATTAATTTGACGAAGAAGCAGAAGAACTTATAAAAAATAAAAATAATAAAAATAAAAATAAAAAATAAAAAAAAGGCAGTTATAGGTCCCTTTCCTGCATAAAGCATTTTTATGGTGGTATTGAGGTCATCTGTCCAGTACCCCTTATCTTCTCCTGTTCGACATACTTTTCGCAGGTTTGGAGTGTCTATCTTACCATGAGAGAAAACCTCCAATTTAGGGCATTCTTTTACAATCAATTCAACCAAAGATGGGAAATTGAAGGAGTACTTGCTCAAGCAGAAACTCCTGAGGCTGGGTAACCATTGGAATCTCAAAGACTTCAGTTGGGAAAAAACAATTTCCTTCTCCACTTCTTCGCCCTCACGTGCTATGATTTCTTCTATCTTCTTGCAATCAGTTATGCTCATTCTTTTGAGTTGCACCATGCTGTTAGCTATTGAGGGAGTTACTAAATTTTCTAATTCATGACATCTTGACACCTCCAGAGCTGTCAAATTTTGGAAAGATATCAAAGATGACACGGAATTCTTTAATTTGATGCATTCTAGCAACTTCAGTGTTTTCTGGTTTCCAAAGCCTGAGACACTTTGGGATTCTTTATTCCAGGGATGTGCAGTCTCAGGAAGATTAGACTTTGACTCATTTGATTGAGTTAGTGCAGATGCATGACTTTCATCTTCAGCACCAGATTGAAATCTCTTATTGGAGGAAGAGGGTTTGCTGGGGCTTCTTATGTCCATGTTTTCCAAATTCAAAAATAATCAATGTTTACAAGTTGGGAAAACTGACCTGCATGGTTCATGCCAACAGTGAAAAAGATGTATAGAGTGCCACTTCATATAAATTCTATAAAAAGAAAAAAGAAAAAAAAAAGAAAAGAAAAGAAAAGAAGAGAATGTTTAAATGACCTATTTCTATTGAATAGGAGTTGTTCCCCAAAAAGGTGCTATATATTGGAAAATAAGCTCTCATACCATGTACAATCAGTGATCAATGCATATCAACAAGTACAAATATATTAAAAATAGAAAAGCAAAGTCAAGAACGAAGAAAAATGAGATATGCATGGTTCACATGTAATGATTGACATGTCCTACTAATGATAAAAAAATTTTGGCTGACAGAAAAAAAAAAAGAAGCTCTTTATACATTGTGAATATACCAAACTCATTAATTTTATATACATGCATAAAAGTATATTATTACTACCATGATATGATTACAAACTTACATATTACATGGACCTATATAATGAAGTATCCAAACATAACAAGATAATCATGTCCATAAATGACTAACCAAGGATGTGGCAAGATTTGATAAGTCTCATCTTTAAAACAAAAACTCCAATGATATAAATTTCACACATCCCACCATTTATCAATCCTTTGGGGCCTGTCTCAGAAGATAAGTAACCATGACTTGACAACTCATGATGAATTAAGTTTACTCATCTCAATATTCCACAAATCTCAAATCTTTCAATGTAATCAAATTATCTAATCTAACAAAATCCAATAGAATATCATCTGAAAAATGAACTTTCTAATTTCTACCTATAACCAAAAGGTTTAAACAATTCAAATATATCTTTATTAATCAAAATTCCATCACACATTCCCAAGAATATGGTCAATCAATAATCTTTACAATGCTATAATCAAGCATAACTCTAGATTGACTAATATATCAAGTAGCCAAATTCATGAATACTGCATTCATAATACCATACCCTCAAGCACTTGACGTTCATAAATTCCCCATAAAATTTCAAATATAATAATTATACTTGAAAAAGAAAAGTTACAATAAGATAAACATGGTGGATGTGTGTATTCAACTTGAATTTCCGCCATCAAAATTCACAATCAAGGGTCTCAAGCTCCCGAAAAATTTATGGAAGATTTATAATTTTACATATATAACCCTTGATAATATCTTAAATTTTCGACGTTCACAAAACCTTCAAAAATTAAACCTTTTCACCATTTCCCATCTTTTGAACCATTTCTTACATACTTTCATTATACAAAATTAATACATAGCGACCAAGCAATACTCATTCAAAACCCGTTCTTCACACCTATATATCTGTATTAATCAATGATTTTCCATAACTTGTTCAAAAAACATCAAAACCATACTAAAAATCTGCAGACATATAAACATGAAGATGTGTACCGTATGCATCTAAGATTTGAGTACAGTAAGAGAGAAAGTGGAATTTTACCTTAATTAGTCTTACAATCAATCCCTCAGTCTATCTTGCTCATCACAGGGTTCTTGGAAGAAACCCACCATCAAAATGAGATGATGATGAAGATGAATCCTCAAAGGGAAGTGAGAATCAGAGGCTGGGCTTTCAGTGGAAGCAAGAATCGGAGGGGCAAGGAAAGTAAGGCTTCCGGGAAGGACCAACAGCGCAAGAATTATCTTTTTATATTAAACAAAGTAGTTTATTTCCGGGAAAATCCAATGGTAAGCCCTTCAACTTTTCCCATTT